CATCTGAATTGAGATGTGGTGAAAGCATACAAGCTTACTGAGACCGGATGCAGTGGCTCACGCTTGTAATCCTAGCACTATGGGAAGCTGAGGTGGGAAGATTGCATGAGCTCAGGGGTTTGAGACCTGCTGCTGAGCAAGAATAAAACCCTGTCTCTTCAAAAAATAGAAAAATTAGCTGGACGGGGTAACAGGTACCTGTAGTCCTAGCTGCTCAGGGGGCTGAGGCAGGAGGATCACTTGAGCCCAGGAGGTGGAGGCTGCAGTGAGCTATGATGATTCCATTGTACTCTACCTGAGTTGACAGAGTGAGACTCTGTCTCAAAATAACCAACCCCTCCCCCCCAAAAAACCAAGAATATTAACAAAGCAAATATCTCAATAATTTTATATGTTGAAATGAAAATATATTTTGATATGTTAAGTCCAAAAAAATAGTATAAAATTAACATATTTGTTTTTACTTTTGTTTCATGTAATGCCTTATTATATTCAAGCTACTATAACAAATTACCATAAATTAGGTGGATTATAAACAACAGAAATTCATTTTTCATAGTTCAGATGATTAGGAAGTCTAAGAACAAAACTGGCAGATTCAATGTCCAATGAGGTTCTGCCTCCTGATTCACAGATGGCTGCCTTCTTACAGTGTCTATGCATGGCAGAAGGGGTGAGGGTCTCTAGGGTCTCTTTTTGAAGATTCCAAATCTCATTCATGAGAGCTCTACTCTCATGACCTAATCACTTCTCCCAAACCACATTTTCTACCATTACATTGGAAGTTAAGATTGTAGTATAGGAACACAAACATCCAGTCTATAGCATTCACAGTTACTATAAAATTTAAAATTATAAATGCGGTTCAAAAAATGCTGTCCTAGACAATGACTGAAATAGCCGGTAGTGTCATAAGCCTTCATGGTACCTGGTTTAAGGAGTTGGTACCTGGTTTAAGGAGTTAGTACCTAAGACATACAATATGAACATAAAATAATCATGCATCAGAGCAAGCACAGGTAAAATGGGAAAATGCTGCTTTCTCCCATAATTAGAAAAAATAAATCATTTTTTTTTTTTGCTCAGAAGACTCTTGAATACAGTTGGGGATCGGTAACTGACATGATCAAATTTGCACTAGGAAAGTAACTATCATGGCAGAGTTGCAAGGTAGAATTGAGGACAGAAAGCCTGAAGGCAATGAGACCAGTTAGAGGACTTTAGCAAGATTCTTGGAGACAGGTTCTCTTAAGGGATTATACATGGAATTGAGAAGAGAGGGTAGTGTAGTTAATATGGAAATAGAATTATCAGGATTTCAATAACACTGAATGTAGGGATTTGGGGAGGGGCCACACCACCCAACAGCTGCACAGTACACTGTGGATATAGATTTGGCACTCCAGTTTCTGATAGGTTTGTTTAGAAAGAGAAAATGCCAGTACCTTTGAGAAAATGTTTACTTATATTGCTGGTTTGCCAAGGACCAGAGACATCACTGCATGCCCTAATGGTGCAGACAAACCTCCTCATCTCAGTCTCCTGAAATCCACAGATAGCAGGTCTAGTGGTGATGATACTGGATACATCTCTTCCAGATCTCGCCAACAGTCAAGAATTTAATCCAAATATCAGCTGGTTTCTAATGATATTACTCTAATCATGCTGAATAGCTATAGGTAATGGAAACTACCCCGGAGGAGGAGGCAGCAGATAAGGGCTCAAAGTCTGGCGCCATGAAAACCAATCATGGAAGTGACTTTACCTGGAAGAACCCCAATTCTTTCAACAGTAAAATAAAAATGAAAATATCCATCACTAGATTACTTTCAAATTATACAGGGTCAGGGTCATGTAAGTGAATTAACTTTATAAACAATGATGCTTTATGTCATTATGCATGTAGTGCATTTTTATAGTTTCTCTTTCAATTTTGCCTATAGGTTTTTTTTCTCCCCAGTGGAAATGTGAAAATTTCCCTGAGTGAACTTTTAATGAGTTACCTCCTACACTGTTACCTTATCCTACACTGTAGAGAGAAAGTAATTTTGAGCTGAAGGGCCTATTAATAGGACTTCCAATAGCCACTCACCCCCATAGTAAACACGTATTGGTGTGCCTGCCTGCATGTGTGTGGAGAGGCATGGATGTGTATGTCTATTTCAGAGTCAAGTTGTAGAAAGAAAGCATCACAGCTTGAAAAAGATACACTTGACTGTTTTGCAGAAACAGTTTCTACAATTAACCCTGCTGATCTGTTTGTAAACCGAAAATAGTGTAAACACACACAGTTGCTCTCATTAATTTTTGATAAGCAATAAGACTTAAAAATATTTTACCTCCAAGCATATGTTATTTGCATTTGGCTTCAGTGGCAGGCATATGCTTTGACATACGATGCTCCATCTTGCACTAAATGCACATGACTTACATCGAAAACAATGGATGAACTACATGTGGGCATCTCATTGGCTGAGTGTTTGGCTCAGTTATCTCTGGGGTTCTTTGAATAAGACAGAGAGAATACACAAATGCCTAAATCAGGAACACTTCAAATTTCATGAATCTGTGTTAGCCTATCCATTCTTAAAATAGTAATAGAAAGTAGAGGTTTGGATGTCTACACAGTATAATTTGAGTTTGTGAATTTTCTTCCCTTACAACACCCACTTATCCTCATATAACCCCACAGCAATCTGACACACTGGGCTCCATCCCGGATATAGAATTGTTAAAGTCACTCTTTTTGTTTTAAGCAACCCAGCCAAATTAAATATCTTTTGCATGTTCAGCACAATACTTGCTAAAATGTTTTTTAAGAGTAGCAAAAGAATCCAGATAGCAACCCAGCATTTGGAAAGTCAAGATTGGCACATACAACAATTAACAAGTCTTTATTATATCTGAATATTAAGTCTGTATTATTTGGTAAAAGCTAGTAGATTTTAAAATCTATCACCATTAGACTGTGAGTGCTGGAGTGCTTGAAGAGTTGAAGACTATAAGTGAAGACTGTATGAGTAAAAGATAACTGACCTGACTATAAACCACAGGCAGGTTAAAAACTTCCAAAGAGAGGAGGAAGATATTGAACATGAGCCAATGTAGTGTGAAGGTGGGAATCGGGGTTTGTGCCCATGGCAGTGGGAAGGCTGGTGTAGAGATGAAAATAGATAGATGGGTAGACATTAGAGGGCCATGCTGGTGTTTAGTCAGAGACCAGCGGGGAATGGGACCAGGTTTATCTGAAGCAACGTTCAGAAAGGATTAAAGGCAAGAAAAAGACTAGAGAGGGAGAAAATGTAGAATACATTTCAGTGATTGAAGGGTGTGGTAATGAGGGCCTGCACTGAGGTGATAACAGAATATAAGGAATGAATATAATGGAAAAGCCCACCCTTTATACTAGGAAAGATGGCCATTGTCACTGACTACTTTTCTTCTTCTTTTCCTCAGATACTCTTTCTTCCACTTCTCTTCACCTTTTCTTACTTCACTCTGATAATAGAGCACTCACTATATAATGAGTACTGTGCTCAACCTGTTGTATGTATTACCACTTGGTTGGGCACATCAGTTTTAGGTGTTTTTTAATGCCTGTTGTTTAGATTAGTAAACCGAAGTTAGAGAGGTAGAGTGTCTGTCCCAGGTCACCCAGGGCAGTGCCAGCATTCCACCCCATGTCTGCATAACATGGGAGCACAAGTGTGTCAGTTGTACACTTGTGCTCTAACACCCCATGTTATCATGGGGAGTGCAGTCATCGTGGATTATTCCTGTTTTCTGTTTGCCTTTATTTAATTTTTAAATCTCTTTTCATTTAAATTTAAAAGTAAAATATGCACAATATAAAGGAAACAAGTATTCCGCAAGTACACAGAGTATAAGGTCAATGTTTTCACTTATCTCTGCACTCCTACCCCACATCAGTTTCTGCTCCCTTCTCTGGAGGCAACTGATAATAACAGTTTAGAGTGTAGCTTTTCATATCTTTGTCAGTGCTGAAGGCAATCATTGTTCCCATAAGAATTTACCGTGCTTTGGATTCATCTTGATACGTGAGTCAGACAGACCCTGTCTTCTCATTCCCGTTGGTGTTGGTAGAGGAGTTGGGGGAGGGGAACAGGAAAGTCAAAAAATATGGGCTATATAGGAGCATAAATAATCTTTTTAAAAACAAATTTATGTCTTTTTATCTTCCTACAAAGTCTAAGAATTGTAATCAAACAAACAAATCCACCCTGTACATTTATTTCAGTTCAACAATAGACATATAAGAGCCTATAATGACTCATGTACTTACATTACAAATGCCTATAAAACAGTGTCTCAGTTTTTAAGATGTTCATAGTCTAGTAAAGGGGGCAAATGTACAAAGACATGACTACAATAAATGGAGTGTAAATAAACAATAATAAAGGTCTATTTAAACCAGACAAATACTATCCTGGTTACCTATTGATGCATAATAAACCACCTCAAAACTCAGTGGCTTTAAACAATTTACCAATATCTCTCATACTTTTATGGTTTAGCTGGGCTCAGCTGGGCTGTTCTTGCTTGGAGTCTTCTATGCAGTCAGGTAACAGCTAGAACTGGAATCATTGCAAGACTCAACAAAGCTAGATATCAAAGATGGCTTCCTCACTCACATGTCTGATACCTCAGCACTCTTCTAGGTGGCATCTCTAGAGTGGTCTGGACTTTTTACATGTCCATTCAAAATTGTGAGAATAGGCCGGGCGCTGTGGCTCACGCCTGTAATCCTAGCTCTTGGGAGGCCGAGGCGGGCGGATTGCTCAAGGTCAGGAGTTCAAAACCAGCCTGAGCAAGAGCGAGACCCCGTCTCTACAAAAAAAAAAAAAAAAAAAAAAAAAAAAAATTGTGAGAATGAACAGGAAGTTGAACTGCCAGGCCAGTTAAGGGCTGTGCTTATAGTCATTATGACATCATTTCTGCTATATCTTATGGATTAAAGCAGTCACAGGGCCTGACCAGATTCAAGGAAGTAGAGAAATAAATTCCATCTCTTGATGGAGGAATGACAATGGCAATGTTCAAATGCAGAGAAGCATATGGTAAAAGATGTTTCTACAACCATCTTTGGAACATATAATCTTCTACAAGTAATGAAGGGAATGGAATAATTGTTTGGGGAAGAGGCAACATCATAGGGAAAGCAATAGTGGAACCAAGTTTTGAAGAATCAAAATATCAAAAGGTAAAATGGGTGAGAAGCAGTTCAGGGAAAGCATATTCCAGATAGGATAAATATATTATCCAAATGCACAAAAGACTGAAATTGCTTTGGCAAATGGATTGAAGTGTTAGACATGGATGGAATAATGAAGGGCCTTGGCAACTACATTTAAGTGATGGGAAGGTTTTAAAGGTTTCCAAGCAAAGGAACAAGGGGATCAGAAAGTTCACTATAGCAGGGCAGTGGAATAAAAAAGTAAGGGGGCAGGAGTAGAGGCAGAAAAACTAGTGGATAACTACTTGACACAAGAGTTAAAGAATGTTTCACTGGATTTGAAGTCAGTTTACCTGTGTTTGAACCTTGGCACTGTCATTTACTATATGTGAGTGTACAGGCTACTCAGTCTCTCTGTGCCTCACTGTTTCATCTGAAAAATAGACAATTAAACTCGGGCTTGTTAGAATGATTACATGAGCTAATCTATATAAATCAGTTAGAATTAGTGTTGGCATATATTAATAGTAAGCTAATATTTTCTGGAATTATTTTAAGTTCAATATTTCACTATGCTATTACAACTGGTGTTTACCATGTGCCTGCCAGAATATCTCATTTAATATTTTTAATAACTCATTGAGGTAGCTAGTATTAACAGTCCTTTTGACAGATAAAGACGCTGAGATGCAGAGGGAATATGTAACTTTCCTAGGTCAACCATTGTAATTAGGGTCGAATTTTTCAAATAGAGAACAAAATCAGAAAAATTTAGTAGCAGAATAAACAGCTTTTCATTTTAGCATGTGCATTTTTAAAACATAGAAAACATATATATGTGCACATATATACACTCACACATAAAATGTACGTAAATATAATACCTAGAGAGCCAACACATTTCTTTGCAGTGACAATGATTATTTTTAAAAATATTATCTCTCAACTAAATTATTTTAACTTTTCTCTGAGTACAAGACTCACAGCTTGTAAAAAATTAAATTTATTCAGAACCACAAATCACTATTTGTTTAGACAGGGAGACCAATTAGAGTTTCTACCTGTCAGGGAAAAAAGAGCTGACAAATCAACTCTGCAGGATGCACCAGAGCTCTGAACTTGCCTTCTCTGTGTTAGCAGCCCTACAAAATACTTCTGTGATTTGGCGTAGAAGCTTCCCTATTCAACCTACCCTGATATGCAGGCAGCTTACTTAGGCTTTCAAGAATATTCAGTCTGGAGGATATAAATCTGAATTTGTAGACCTGGGTGCAGAAGTAATAGGAGACTTGAGAGTATGAGTTCCTACAAGGCAATACATTATTATTTTTTAGTCTCTCTAACTGTGATTTTGTATCCTATTGTGATAACAGGAGACACTTTGGTCAGAGCAGGAATCAAGCTTCAGGAGACAAATCTAGTGAAAAAAATAAAATAAAGAATAAAGAAAGAAGGAAAAAATCAAAGGAAAAAAGATATGAGCTAACAACAGGTATTCATGAGGTAAATACTTCTCTTCCTCTGTCTGAGACAGTGTTTTGTGGGCCAAATTGAAATGACATGATCAAAAGCCTTTCATATTCACAACAGGAAGCCCTGGGCTAGAGGGGAAATTCTTGTGAACTCCTTGGGCAGGCACCGTTTGAGGGGTCCCCTTAAATACTTTGCTGCTTCTCAGTGAACTCACGTCCATTATCCAATGGAGAAGGAATCTGTGGGAAACTTGACGTGTTCTTTTTACTCAGTCTCCAACCAACTGTTTCATGAGTGCTTTTATTTGATAGCTATTGCACCCGCAAGAGTTAGCTGGAAGGTTGGTTTTCAATCAAAACAGCTTGGAAACCATGGGAATCAACCTGGCTAAAAATTCTTCATTTGACTGAAAGGGAAAAACATAAAATAAAAAAAATCTTCCCTCTTCATCCTTTCCTTTCTCCACTGGTTTTATTCTAATCAGATGGATTCAGTGATCAGAACCCAACGAACTATAAAGTAAAATTTCACCTTTTTTTATGATGCAAAGTTTATTGTCAGAGAGAGACATGGATGAAGAAACATTCCTCAGCTCAAATATTTAGGGTTCTTCCTGGCCCCTGGGGAGAAAGTAGTCTTGTTGTCATTCGCAAGTGCCCCCAGAGAGATGTGGAAGGCAGCATGCAAGAGGAAAAGTAAAATGCTTTCTTTGCCCACATTCTTTTTCCTTAAAGATCTTTGTTTTGCATAAATGAGTCTCCTAAGCCAAACAGAGGAAACAAAATCTTCCTCCTCCCTGGAGTCAGAAACATTGAATTACCTAAGGAGTACTTAGAATTATCATTATCATTCCTGGGCCACTCAAACCAGAAACCTGTGTTCTTAGAAGTGGGATATAATTCCCAAGTTTACTCTGTTTTTATGTCGTGTTGTTCAAGCCATGTAAAATGTTGGGATCTGTTTCTTAGAGGTTGGAGTAGAACAGTTGGAGGGTTCAGAGGCCAAAATAGCTACAGAAGAGATGTCAGAACTAACTAGAGTGCAGGTCATGGCCAAAGTTTTAGCAGTGCCAGGCATATTGTTTGTGATGCTTCTCACAATCAGGTTGAATGACAAGGTCTTATGAAAGAGTTAATAATCTATATTGACTCAAGAGGTATCAAAGTGTGGTCTAGACACTCAAGGCAGGAGAAGAAACAGGCAGAATAAAAGATAAGGGAGAGAAGATCTCATGTTTGAGCTCAGATACAGTCCTGAGAGGAAGTGAAGAGAACACTATGAGCCTGAGCAGAAAGCAGGTGGGTAGCCATACAGAGTGAAGCTAAAACAAAGAGATGACACACCTGGTGTTCATCTCACTCAGGGGCCAGGGTCAATCATTTGACATACTGTGCACAGACAACAGATTCTTCCCAAATCCCACTCCAGGGCAGGGAGGCTCCACCAGACATCTCATTGCACCTGGGTCTGGATTGACTAACCATGAAAGTGCGCCAATGCAGGGAAAAAGTGATGGGCACAGATGTCCAAAAAATTATAATGACAGCTCTGGCTAAATACTAAATTAAGGGGTTGTTATCAATCCCTGGTTGTAGAGTTGGTAGATCCATTTGGAGCAGGGGACCTATTTCATAGCCAAAAGTAAATCTGCTGTTTGTATAAATCCCAGTTTTATTCTACTGCACAGAAATCATAGGAGAAACGTTTGAAGTTTTCTACCTAGGTTTGTGGTCAAGAGCTATCAGCTTTCATAACTGGTTTTGTGACCTACTCTAAAAACAAACTATGAAAACTTAGCTGGATATCCTTCTAGGGAATTCCAGTGAGTGTAAGAAGGAGAAGGAATGATGTTTCTGATGAATGATGATGTATATTGTGGGGCGCGGTGACAACGCCATTACAAGATGGCGCCGATTTCCGGTGGCCCGCCTGTAGTAAACAAGTTCAGCGCATGCGCAGAGTAAGTCCTGGCCTGTTCTATAAGTATGCATATGAAGGATCTTAGCTTGGCCTATCAGTAATAACCCTTGCGCGCTTTTAACCTATCCCCATCACTTCCCTCCTTCCTTAGAGTATATAAGTGTGTGAGAGCTTGTGCTCAGGGTCTTCCGCATCATGTAAGTCTAAAAGGAACCCCATTAAAGCACTGTCAGAAGAACTCCAGTTGCCGCGTCTTCCTTGCTGGCGAGGCGGGCGCGACAGTATATGGCAAGAGCATGCTTTTCAATAAAGCTGTCTACTTAAGTCAGAGAGTGCCGAAGGCATCCCGTGGGCCAGCCAGGACCCCATCAGGCCTGACAGTCACTGGAGGGACACTCAAGCAGCTAGCCTGCTCACTCTCGCAACCTCGAAGGTGACTTAGTGATAAGCCATATGTGATAAGCCTAGAGGACTAGGCCTCCTGTGACCAGTCTGTGTGCACGGATGGAGTAGCAGAGTGCCAGAGACACTCCATAATAGAGAGCTGGAAGGAAGTCACCACAGGCTCAAGGAGCACAGGAAATGCTTTTTTTTTTGCCAGTGGGAAGCCTGTAATTGGAGCTTCAAAACAGCAGCTTTGTGCTGAGAAGCCTGGGGTGTAACTCCTGGAAATAGGAAGTTTTTTAGAAGCAGAGGTTTCAAAAAGCAGGTGAAGAGGCCATGTCATAGACGGTAATTGTGATAAATGGCCTTTGTCACAAGGGACTAAAGAACTTGACAACTATCTGCACATCTGTCTCTGTGATCACAGGAAGCTTATATATAGCATTCCTGAACACATTTATTCAAAAGATATTTATCGGGCAGTTATAATGAACCGAGTTAAAGTACTGAAAGTGCTATGGAAGATACTATATGCTAAAGTACTATGAAAGATACAGAGTAATCAAGGTTAAATTCAGAAAAAAAATAAAACCACCTTTTCCTAACGGTTAGCTGAAAATCCTAGCCTATGCCTTACATTTGCTCTTTAAAGAGGATCAAGAATAAAATTTAAACTTGAATGGAATAAAATTTAGGCTTTGAATTATGTATTTTGGTGAGAATTTCACCTTTATTTCAATTACTCCAAGGATTATTCGGATCCTCCTAAAAGTTCATTATAATCTGGAAAATTTAAATGTGATATAAATTATTTTTTCAATAAAAAAATTTCCTGAATTTTTCTGACCCTCTTCTTCTCTGATTCTGAAAGTAATTTTTCAAAAAACATTTCATTGAACACCTAGAATGTACCTGGTGAAAATAATGAAAATTACGTAAGATACAGAGTGATCTAAACTCCATGCCAGAAACAAAAACATACTTTTTATTCCCAAGGCCTTGATTCCTTATCCTTTATATTTATTAAGCACTCTACAACTTAAAATGTTTAATACATCATCATTATTATATTGTTATTTATGAGTTAGTATATACCAGTCTGTCCTAAACAATTTATGTACATTACTTTCATAAATTCACACAACTAATCTGTGAGTAGTTATTATTATTACCCCAAATTTTCAGATGAATATAAAAAATCTGAGATTCAGAAAAGGATTAAAACAGGACAAAACTTTGTAGACAGAAGAGCAAATCTAGCCCTTTTTTCAACCTATTCCAGCTTAGAGGAAATTACTGATTTATTTAGTCAGCTAAGATAAATAATAAAATTGATGCTTGTTCACTTGGGAACTTTTCCAACCATAATGGGCTAAAGGAAAAGCATTCTGGCTAAGTGTAAGCTTCTATTAATATTAACAGGTATTAAAGATAAAAACAATTGCTCAACTATTGTGGTTGCCTGACATTGGTTTCCTGAGCTCACCCAGGGCATACTATTTCAATCACTCATCTAATGCTTAGCACAGGGTTATTCATTTATTTATACAAATAGCCTATATAGTCAAATATATTTAAACCATAATTTTCTTGAGGTCTAAGACTATGTCAGTTTCTAGCCACACAGACAGTGGGTGCTCAAGTCATTTATTCATTCATTTCTATATATATTTAACAACAACTGAAATTTAGCTTACTCTTTCAATAAACAGTGAGTTCTTGTTTTGTACCAAGGGATTTCATGTGTGTTGGGGATTTAGTGGTAAACAAGATAGATTCCTATGCAAGAAGAAGAGAATTCCAGAAAAGTGAAACAGCAAAGCCAGAGACTCTGAAGTGAAAATAACCTTTGGGACAAAACGAAACAGAAAAGAGGTAAACACGGAAGCAGGGAGATGAATTAGGCTATCGTAGTAATCACCAAGAAACACATGGTGGCTTCAACTATGGCAAGAAAAATGGTGAGATTGGAGCCTATTTTTCAGATCTAAAATCAATGTGATTGGCTGATGATGTGAATGGAGAGGTAACTCGTAGGTGTTTAGCAGCTGGGCAGAAGCTGTTGCTATTTGCTAGTAGGAGGAGCAGGCTTCCTGCAGAATGGAGGAGATCAACCATTCTCTGCAGGCTATGCTAAGTATCAGATGCCTATTGCAGTAGAAATGTTGCATAGGCCATTGGATATATGAGTCTAGTGCTTAGAGAGAAGTCAGGGCTGGACTGTGTTGCATACTGAAGACACAGACATAAACAAACACAGTGTCTGTTCTCAAGGGCTTCGCAATTTAACGTGCTTTATTGGAAATAATCTTGGCTACTAGAAACCCAGCTCTTGCTTCTTTCTCACTTAGTCAATTATCTTCATGAGGAAAGAGATCTTATTTTATGCATATCTGAAATTCCATTCTTTAAGCAGGTATTCATTTATTTTTGTTAAGTTGGGCTAAACATAATCAGTCAAAGCAGAGAGCCACTGGATAATAAATGCATAGAAAGGAGAAAAATGATTTAAGATATGGCTTCTGCTTTTTAGGAGATAAAATTTTAGATAAGTAGAGGAGATAATAGAATAATACATCCTTTAAAACTGAAATTTGAGAGATCATTTAATAAGTTCACAATACCCATAAATAAAAAGACTAATAAAAGATGAGTGGAAAGAAACATATTTAGAGGTTGGCATAGTCAGGGAAGGCTTCAAGGAGGCACAGCTCTAGTTCTGAACCTTGTAAAATAGGTAAGATTCAGAGGATTGATGAGAAAATTGCAAGATAACACATACCAAATCACAGTCTTACAAAAGTAGACAGTGTAGGATATCAATTTAAACAAAAAGATTTGAAGTTTTTGAGCAAAGCTTTACCATATTAGACACATACTTGGAATTTATCATGTATACAAAGTCGCTAAGTTGAGGACTTTCTCCAGGGTTTGTGCAATGAGAGCCTAAAGTTCATCAACTCTCTCTCATCTTTTGTAGAAAAAAACCTTAATGATGCAACAGTGGAATGGATGGTTGCCAAAACACCCAGACTCAAGTGGCTTTGGAAAATTATCCTCTCACCTGAAAATCTCTTCTTTCAGGCATATCCCTTCCCTCAGTGCCAAAAATGTATGCATCATTAAAGGATCATTCCTTTAAACCCAAGCAGCTTGTTTGTCTTCCATATGGAGTCTATATTCTAATGCATTTGGCTCTAATGCTTTAAAGAACATACTTTGAGGGTTGTCAAATATCCAATATAAGATGAGTAGATGGGATTCCAAAAGTTGAGAGAAAAGTTGAAAGAGGTGACAACAAAGTAACTTGCCAGTTCCACTTAGCTCTGGGATGAGTTTCTTGTTCTTTTCTCCGAGTTATATAAACGCATTCACTCACAAAGAGAAAATCTCCTTTTTAAAAATACCGTATGACTATCCAAAAAGTGTTCACATTATTTTTTTTTTTTTTTTTTTTTGAGACAGAGTCTCGCTTTGTTGCCCAGGCTAGAGTGAGTGCCGTGGCGTCAGCCTAGCTCACAGCAACCTCAAACTCCTGGGCTCGAGTGATCCTTCTGCCTCAGCCTCCCGGGTAGCTGGGACTACAGGCATGCGCCACCATGCCCGGCTAATTTTTTTATATATATATCAGTTGGCCAATTAATTTCTTTCTATTTATAGTAGAGACGGGGTCTCGCTCTTGCTCAGGCTGGTTTTGAACTCCTGACCTTGAGCAATCCGCCCGCCTCGGCCTCCCAAGAGCTAGGATTACAGGCGTGAGCCACAGCGCCCGGCCTCACATTATATTTTAAGAAGAATCCTTTTTATCATTTTATTTGTTTTTTTTTAAACCATTTATGAAAAGAATGTGAAAGACAGAATAAATTTCTTTCTGCAGCAGAAAAAAACCCTAAGTGTCCCTGGAGAATGGGCATTTATATCAAGATGCTGGATGGTTTTTTCTTTCCTTCGACTAAGAATTCTCTTGTCTATTTCCTTGTCACTATCTGGCTTTTGCTTCCACATCTCCCTCCCTACAGTCCTCCAGCATCATTTTTTTAATATTCACTAAGGGAACTTGCTGACTCTGCTCTTCACACCTGAAATGTCAGAGCTAAAGCAAGAGGGCTTTTGAAATGAAACTGGAAGCATATGATGAATTGACTGCTGGCCACTTCTTGTCCCCCAAAACCATCCATTGCCTATGTCCCAGAGCTGCCACACTATCGATTAACTCATCTCATTCTGTCCTGATGTCAAAAATGCCTATCTGGCTAATGAAGAGCCACTAAAAAAGGATGAAGATTTGGGGAGCTGGGAGAGCTATGTAGAAAGCTCCCTCTAATAAGAACATTGGAAAAACGATCAGTTTTTGCTGGTTACTTCTCTCAAGATATGGCAGATTTACAGAATATTTTAGCTACACTAGACTACATTATATGAGTGCTGACCACTTTGGCATAAGTGGTACAAGTATAGTTCCTCTTCCATTCAGTTTGGCAAATATATCGGGCATTTATTATGTGATTTTTTTCCTTAGTTGAGATATAAGTCCAACTCTTATTTTCCCCACACTGCTCTGCATTTAACGCATTCTGAGTGCTAATCATACAGTCTCTTCCTATGTTTGTGGCCTTCACAAGACTAGAAACTTCATGAGAGTAGGAACTTGGTTGTGTTTGCTTACAATTTATACTTAGCAACGCATACAGTAGATAACATACATTTAATGAAAGTAGTTATTCATGGATGCATGAAAGAGTGAATGTCATCACAATCACAAAGGTGAATAAGGCTCCATCCCTGTTCCCAAAGAGCATATAGCCTAGTGGAGCAGGCAGATATCCAAAAAGATATTCTGACACTTTTATAGAGGGCATTTTCCCTCTCTCCAATTTTTGAGCTTTAAGTTGAACTAAGGGATCCCTGTGCAACTATAAGTATCTCATAAACAAGAGCTTCTCTTGGTCATTAATTTATGTTCTAGCTTTAAAATTGCCTGCTTTCAAGTGATGACAACAAGAGAGCAGAAAGAAAGACTTAAGTTGTGTTCCCCTGTGGAGACATTGACTTGACAATAATATACAGACCAAATTGCCTTTATGAGAACTCCAGAAATCAGATAAGAGGTTTCAGGACCCCAGGTGAGCACAAAGCCAAAATGAGCTACATGGAAGTGGGCATGAAAGTTTGTTACATGTGTCTGCCTTAGCCTCTCAACATCCCCAGCACAGCACTACACACTCAGGGAAAAATTCCCAACTACAGGCATCTCTATTAAAAGAGAAAAAGAAGGTGGAACCTATGTTCAACTTTCTGGTTTTTCAGAGGGCTTCCCAAAGGACTGGTTCTTGCATTGCCTGACTTGGAGCACTAAAAAGAAGAGCACATACTTCGGATGCCAATTCAGGAGCTGCTGAGAACAAAGATGAGTGTTGTAGTTTGTAATGGCACCAGAAAGAGTGCAGCACCACAGAGAGATGTGAGGGGAAGCAATAAATTAGAGGGTCTTGAAAAGAGACACGGACAACCCTTTAAAGTAGGAATTCAAATACATAGCCTAAAGAGAATATATACCAAAAAAGTTTCAAAGTTCTCCATAATCTCTAGCCAGCCTGAGTGATGGATGTCTTCCCCTATACAAAACCAGTCTCTAATGACTGGGAGAGGTGGCTATTTTTGCAAATGTTCAAATGTTAACTGAAGACCACAAGGCATACAGAGAAACAGGAAAACATGGTCCAATCAAAGGACCAAACTATATCTCTAAAAACCAACCTTAAAGAAATAAAGACTATAAATTTACCAACAAGGAATTCAAAATAACCATTTTAAAGATCTAAATGAACTGAAAGAGAATACAAATAGACAATTTTTTAAAAATCTGAAGATAACACATGAACAAAATAGGAATATCAACAAAGAAATATGAACTATAAAAATTACTGAAAAAATTCTATAGATGAATAATAAAATAACTGAATTGAAAAATACACTAGAGGAGTTCAACAGCAGACTTGATTAAGTGGAAGAAAGAATCAACAGTCTTGAAGACATATCATTTGAAATTAACAAATAAGAAAAGAAAAAACTTAAAAAGAATGAAAAAAGGGGCCAGGCATGGTGGCTCAAGCCTGTAATCCTAGCACTCTGGGAGGCCAAGGTGGGAGGAATTTTCAAGGTCAGGAGTTGAAAACCAGACTGAGCAGGAACAAGAACCCATCTCTACTAAAAATAGAAAGAAATTAATTGGCCAACTAAAAGTATGTAGGAAAAAATTAGCTGGGCATGGTGGCACATGTCTGTAGTCCCAGCTACTTGGGAGGCTGAGGCAGGAGGATTGCTTGAGCCCAGGAGTTTGAGGTTGCTGTGAGCTAGGCTGATGCCATGGCACTCTAGCCTGGGCAACACAGTGATACTCTGTCTCAAAATAAATAAATAAATAAAATAAAAAAGGTAAAAAGATCTTAAATGACTTATGGGACACCATTAAGGAGACCACTATATGTCTTATGGGACTTTCAGAGGGAGAAGAGAGAAATGACCAGAGAGCTTATTTGAAAAAATGATACTCCAAAACTTCTTAAATTTGATGAAGAAAATAGATATACAAATTTAAGAAGTACAACAAACTCCATCTAGGATAGAATCAAGGAAACCCAAACAAAAGTCACAGACAAAGTGAGTTTCTTGAAAACAGTAAGAGAAAAGAGGCTCCTCATATACAAGGGAACATCTATAAAATTATTTATCGATGGATTCTCAGCAGAGACCTTGTGAATTAGAAAGAAGTGGGCTTATATACTTACAATGCTGAAAGAAAAACCTCCAAACCAAAAATACCATATCCAGCAAAATTGTCATACAAAATTGAAGGGAAAAATAAAACTTTTCCAGACAAAGAAAAAGATATAGAAAAGCTGAGGACACTAGGTTTGCCTTACAAAAAATGATAAAGGGAAATTTTCAAGTTTAAATAAAAAGATGCTTTACAACAACATGAGAACATAGGAAAATATAAGGTTCTCTGGTAAAGGTAAATATATAGAGAAATACAAAATACTCTAATCTTATAGTGATGATGTATAAATCATTTCTAATTATGGTGTAGAATTTAAAAGGCAAAAGCACAAAAAACCCTGTAAATCTACGTTAATTGATATACAATATGAAATGATGTAATTTTTGACATAAATAACACTGAAAGGAGTAGAGATGAAATGAAATAGAGATTTTGTATATGATTAGATTTAGGTTGGTATCAGTTTAAAATAGAATGTTATAACTTTAAGATATTTTGTGTAATCCCTATAGTAACCACAAAGAAAATATCTATAAAAGATACACAAAAGAAAATAAGAAAAGAATCAAATACACCACTACAAAAAAAAAATCAGTAAAACACAAGGAAAGTCAATAAAAGAGTAAAAAAGGGACAAAATAGCTATAAGATATATAGTACATCCTTCCCTATCCATGATTACTTTAAATGTAAATAGATTAAACTACACAGATCAAGAGGCACAGATTGGATGAATGAATAAGAAAACAAGCTCCAACTATATTCTGTCTATAAGAGAGTAACTTTAAATCTAAGGACACACACAGGATGAAAGTTATAGAATGGAAAAGAAGACAGAGGTGGTTATACCTATATTAGACAAAATAAACTTTAAGACAAAAACTGACACAAGACATACATTAGGACATTATATAATCATAAGAGGGTCCATTCACCAGGAAGATATGATGATTGTATACATATATGTACTTAACATAAAAGCTCCCAAATACATGAAGTAACATTGACAAAATTGAAGGGAGAAATAGACAGGAACACAGTTATAGTAGGAGAATTCAATACCCTACTTTTAATAATGGACAGAACAACTGGACAAAAGATCAGTAAGAAAATAGAGGATTTGGACAATACTATAGAAGAAATAGGAACCAATGTATACAGAATACTCCACTTAACAATAGCATAACACACATTCTTTTCAAGCACATGTGAAATATGCTTCAGGATAGACCACATTCAGTCACAAAACAAGTCAAATATTAGAAGCCTGAA